GCTTCCCCAGCAGGTGCAGGGGACGCGGCGGAGCGTGGCTGGAACTAACCCGGGCGTTCTACCTGCCTCGTTTCAGCTGCGCACCCTTTTCCCTGACCCAGATTCCACCCAGTTGTCTCTTGGGACGCCAGTGAGGTTCAAAGCCAACTGTGTGCAACCATTCTGGTCGTGACCCCAATTCCTTTATGACCCAAACAAGACAGGAACCAGCTTTAGGGGAATGTATTACCCTCACAGAAGAAAACTACTTGGTTTCCTCCCTAATCTCGCTTTCATGACATGGCCAGCGAAATGTTGGTCTCCTGGGGAGGGGGCCAACTGATTGTTTGGCAAAGTCGTAACCCAAATTTTAAAAGGTTAAGACAACTTGCCAGAAACCGAAGGTCAAAATAACCCACTCAACCCAATCACAAAATAACCATTTCTACAATGTTCACTCAAGCTATTGTTACCCTTGTTGGACCTACCAAAATTCAGGCAAGGCTTCCAAGTAACTCCCGATTCTCTTCTGTAAAATGCAATAGTATTCCCTAACGATGTTACCAAGTATCGAATGATTTAATTCAGCTTTCTATACTGTGCAGCACAGAAAGCATTATCTGAAGTCTAAACTGAAAGTTCCTTTTGTGGGGGTAGCTAAATACATACAGGATTTGCCTGCCCTCCTCCTCCTCCTCCTCCTCCCCAAGTCCATCACAGCCATACTGCACAGTGCAGAGCTGTCACACACAGCAGGTTTGGACAACATGCAAACTGAGATGGACAAATAGCCTAAAAAACTTGTCCCATTCCAGGTCCTGCCAAAGTTTTAAAATCTTTAATAGCTAATTACACAATATTATTTTACAGTTTGGCCTGCTGTTTATATAGAAAATTAAGTTTAATTTCTGGAGAAGGTATATGCTTAAGTTATTGATGGATGAGAGACCTATTCAAAAGAAAGGCATTTCTATTACAATCAAGCACATTTAAAAACAACTAGTTTGGGATATGACCTTTATTGAGCTTATCCACCGGAGTGGAAATAATGTCTGTACAAAACCAAATGTTTGTTACTATAACTTCTGCATCACAATTAAAATCCAAACAGTTTTTTAAAAACAGTCAACTCAATCAAAACCCACTACTTCAGAATCAATAGCTTCTTTGAAGCCACAGTAACACTTAAATATGGTTAAGACTCGAATGCAGAAATTTGGTTGGCTGGAAAGCTAATTAAACTTCCAACTTGCTCAAATAGAATTACAAAAAGGCAAAATTGTGTTTTTCACAGAGATACAGTCCACTGGAATCACCAACACTGGACAGCTGTTAGAGTATTTAGAGTCCTGAGATAATAAGAAATCCAGGCATCCTTTAGACAGTCTTCTGTTGTCCTTTCTTCCCAATCAGAGATTTGTGGATGTGTGGAATAACACCTAGGAGAGGGACAGGGATTAATTCTAGTTGTTAATACACATTTAAAAAATCACACTATACTTAAACCAGAACAGTTGTTTAACTTGGCAGATGTCTTTAAATGTGAAATTCAAGTATGCAAAGTAAAAACTCATTAAATTATTCCATACATTGATATTTGATACTGCGTATCAGTGAAATTCTGCTCAGGTGTCCTCTTTTAGATTAAAAACTACTAATGGGAATGTTTAAAAAGCTAAGAATTATTTCCTCTAAAGGAATTCGAAGTAAAATTTTAGTATTCACATACCACCACCAGCAATTGTAGCCTTGATGAGAGAATCCAATTCTTCATCTCCACGAATAGCAAGTTGCAAATGACGAGGGGTAATACGCTTTACCTTTAAGTCTTTTGATGCATTGCCTGCCAATTCAAGTACCTAGAAGGCAAAGACTCATCAATTTTCTTCCAGCTGTTTCTTTAGGCCAAGATCCAGAGCAGAACAAACCTTCATGAACATACATCTAGCAATTGCCTCCCTCCCCTCCCCTCCCCTACCTGAATGTCAAAATGGCATAAGCTGTAAAAAGGGGGCACGCAATTTTATTTCCCAGAGCAGCTCAAGATCAGCAGGATCGCTCAATGACCACCAGCTCCCTCTAGCGTTCCCAGAGGCTTCTCGCCGCGTTCGGGGCCTGGGAGTTTTCTTGCATCACTTTCCTCCTTCCCTCTCGCCACCTACCGCACCCCCTCCCCCCGCCCGCCCGCAAACCATTCCCAGATTACAGGCGTGCACCCCTTTACCTCTGCGGTGAGGTACTCCAGAATGGCTGCGCTGTACACAGCAGCGGTCGCGCCTACGCGTCCATGGCTGGTCGTCCTAGATTTCAGGTGTCGATGAATACGGCCCACCGGAAACTTAATTTTAAGCAAAAACAAATGCACAAAGATATGAATCAAAGATGACACAATCAGACGCGCGCCAAAGCAAGGAGCAAGGAGGCTGGAGCAGCGA